GGGAGGCAGGCAGGCAGGCAGGCAGGCAGGCAGGCAGGCAGGCAGGCAGGCAGGCAGGGAGGGAGGGAGGGAGGCAGGCAGGCAGGCAGGCAGGCAGGCAGGCAGGCAGGCAGGCAGGGAGGGAGGCAGGCAGACAGGCAGGGAGGGAGGGAGGCAGGCAGGCAGGCAGGCAGGCAGGCAGGCAGGCAGGCAGGCAGGCAGACAGGCAGGGAGGGAGGGAGGCAGGCAGGCAGGCAGACAGGCAGGGAGGGAGGCAGGCAGGCAGGCAGGCAGGCAGGCAGGCAGGCAGGCAGGCAGGCAGGCAGGCAGGCAGGGGAGGGAGGGTGGCAGGCAGGCAGGCAGGGAGGGAGGCAGGCAGGCAGGCAGGCAGGCAGGCAGGCAGGCAGGCAGGCAGGCAGGGAGGGAGGCAGGCAGACAGGCAGGGAGGGAGGGAGGCAGGCAGGCAGGCAGGCAGGCAGGCAGGCAGGCAGGCAGGCAGACAGGCAGGGAGGGAGGGGAGGCAGGCAGGCAGGCAGGCAGGCAGGCAGGCAGGCAGGCAGGCAGGCAGGGAGGCAGGCAGGCAGGCAGGCAGGCAGGCAGGCAGGCAGGCAGGCAGGCAGGCAGGCAGGCAGGCAGGCAGGCAGGCAGGGAGGGAGGCAGGGAGGCAGGCAGGCAGGCAGGCAGGCAGGCAGGCAGGCAGGCAGGCAGGCAGGCAGGCAGGCAGGCAGGCAGGCAGGGAGGGAGGGAGGGAGGCAGGCAGGCAGGCAGGCAGGCAGGCAGGCAGGCAGGCAGGCAGGCAGGCAGGCAGCAGGCAGGCAGGCAGACAGGCAGGGAGGGAGGGAGGCAGGCAGGCAGGCAGGCAGGCAGGCAGGCAGGCAGGCAGGCAGGCAGGCAGGCAGGCAGGCAGGCAAACAGACAGAGCAGGCAGGGAGGCAGGCAGACAGGCAGACAGACAGAGCAGGCAGGCAGGCAGGCAGGCAGGCAGACAGGCAGGCAGGCAGGCAGGCAGGCAGGCAGGCAGGCAGGCAGACAGACAGACAGAGCAGGCAGGCAGGCAGGCAGGCAGGCAGGCAGGCAGACAGACAGACAGAGCAGGCAGGCAGGCAGACAGGCAGACAGACAGAGCAGGCAGGCAGGCAGGCAGGCAGGCAGGCAGGAGGGAGGCAGGCAGGCAGGCAGGCAGGCAGGGAGGGAGGCAGGCAGGCAGGCAGGCAGGCAGGCAGGCAGGCAGGCAGGCAGGCAGGCAGACAGGCAGACAGACAGAGCAGGCAGGCAGGCAGGCAGGCAGGCAGGCAGGCAGACAGACAGACAGAGCAGGCAGGCAGGCAGACAGACAGACAGAGCAGGCAGGCAGGCAGGCAGGCAGGCAGACAGGCAGACAGACAGAGCAGGCAGGCAGGCAGGCAGGCAGGCAGGCAGGCAGGCAGGCAGACAGACAGAGCAGGCAGGCAGGCAGGCAGGCAGACAGGCAGACAGAGCAGGCAGGCAGGCAGGCAAGGAGGGAGACAGACAGAGAGAGAAACAGACAGAGGGATTGAGGGAGGGAGCTAAGGCGGGTGAGACACAGACTCGTGAAAACATTGAGGCATAACACATAATACATAATAACTCACAGAAGTCCAGATGAGGAAGCGACCCCTGAACGTGACCCCTGAACGTGACCCCTGAACGTGACCCCTGGAAATGACCCCTGAACGTGACCCCTGGAAATGACCCCTGAACGTGACCCCTGGAAATGACCCCTGAACGTGACCCCTGGAAATGACCCCTGAACGTGACCCCTGGAAATGACCCCTGAACGTGACCCCTGTAAATGACCCCTGAACGTGACCCCTGAACGTGATCCCTGGAAATGACCCCTGAACGTGATCCCTGGAAATGACCCCTGAACGTGACCCCTGAACGTGACCCCTGAACGTGACCCCTGAACGTGACCCCTGGAAATGACCCCTGAACGTGACCCCTGAACGTGACCCCTGGATATGACCTCCTTCATCGTGTATGTCCAGACAGAATTACAAACTGTCAAATTCTGTTTATTGCCAGAATTTGCTCTCACAAACGTGCTAGAATTCCAGAAGACTCCCTTCCAGGGATTGGAGTTGAGTAAGTGTACTTCTGTACATGGTCAAACTTAAGCTCTTGGGTTCTGCCTCTTAAATCTCAACTGATTAACAGACCTCCTTGTGCCTCTGTCACATCTACAAAAGCCAGCGCCTTTTTTATAGAAATTATTAGTAAACACTTTACTACTCTTGTAAGTCAAGATAAAGTGCTAAAATAAAGTACGTTCTTTAGACGTAAAATAAAGTACGTTGGAACGTACTTTATTTTAGCAGTTTATCTTGTAATTCCCTGTAAAGTAGAGACTAGAAAGAGTAAATTTTGCGGTCAGGTTGGGCTCGTTGGCCCATAACTCTGGGTTTCACTGATGCGGTTCGTCGTAAATTCTTCAATTTCCTGGCGTGACCTTTAGTGGAGTTAGGGAAGGGGCGGCTTGAGGAGTTTTGATTTGCCTAGCGAGCTGTACAACTTGAGGGCACGCGCGTGCACGCACATGCACGCACTCACACACGCCCGGCCACCTGTTGATTGACGGTTGAGAGACGGGACCAAAGAGCTAAAGAGCTCAACCCCCTGCAAGTACAATTAGGTGAGTATACATACACACACACACACACACACACACACACACACACACACACACACACACACACACACACACACACACACACACACACACACACACACACACACACACACACACACACACACACACGAACGTGGGACGCGAACAAGGGGACACAGGTGGAAACTGAGTACTCACATGAGCCACAGAGACGTTAGAAGGAACTTTTTTAGTGTCAGAGTAGTTAACGGATGGAATGCATTAGGCAGTGATGTGGTGGAGGCTGACTCCATACACAGTTTCAAGTGTAGATATGATAGAGCCCAGTAGGCTCAGGAACCTGTACACCAGTTGATTGACAGTTGAGAGGCGGGACCAAAGAGCCAGAGCTCAACCCCCGCAAGCACAAATAGGTGAGTACAAATAGGTGAGTACACACACACACACACACACACACACACACACACACACACACACACACACACACACACACACACACACACACACACACACACACACACACACCTTAAACTAACAGCATCATCTCAAGACATTATGCGGTATTACCTCAATTACCTCATGGGAATAGTTAGAGTAATTTGCATATTGATAGTCAATGGTGCATTTCAATTAATGGTAACGGTGAATGTGACGCTAGTGATAATGTGCTGATTATGCTGAGGTGGGTATGCTGAGAAGGCTGTGTAGGGTAGTATAGCAGTGTATACTAGTGTAGAGTACCTTGGTATACTAGGTACTCTACTACCTGCCTGAATATGCTCACATTAATGAGTATATGTAGGTATCACCACTACCTTCAAGGTGTCTTCCTTTGTTCTTCTTCCCTTCTCTCTCTCTCTCTCTCTCTCTCTCTCTCTCTCTCTCTCTCTCTCTCTCTCTCTCTCTCTCTCTCTCTCTCTCTCTCTCTCTCTCTCTCTCTCTCTCTACAACGTCTTGTATATATTAAAGCCGTATTGGCTCCAGTTCACACACGTCCTTCCGCGCGCCCGCCGGGGCCCTGGAGCTAGAGACTTGGAAAATGTGTCCAAATACCTTTCAGATGGATTATTATTTGGTCAATTGGCTGTGAAATGCTCAGTCTTGAGGTGGTTATATATTTTCTTTTCAGGGAATTTAAGTGTGTGGTTTAAGTAATGTAGAGTAGGAGGGAGGGACCCGGCGGTACTCGGGGAGAGTCTGTCTCTCACACTACCTCTATTCCACCTCTCTTCTTGTCCCCTCCTCCCTCTCTCCCCTCCAACCTCGAACAGAGACTTTTTCATGTATAATCATAACAATGCGCGGGTAACCGGCGGGAGTAACACCAACACACTATGTACAATACATCGCACATTTCATTTACGACTTTATGAAAATCTTAAGTTACAAGTCATATATCTTAAAGCATTCAATTTAGGCCTACTCCGACCAGCCTATGCCCGTCCCATACTCCAGACGAGTCCCCCTGAAAAGTTGGTGAGGCTGGTCTCAAGCGGCTGGCCTCCAACCCTGAGCCTTTTGCTGTGGTCTGTAAAAATGTTGGTAAAAGTGGAGCTAAATGACTTAAATACACCAAGTAGATGTTTTATTCTGAGGGAGTTTATGTATTGTTGGAGTGAAGAGGTCACGTCCCTGCACGGCCGGTGTGTGTGTGTGTGTGTGTGTGTGTGTGTGTGTGTGTGTGTGTGTGTGTGTGTGTGTGTGTGTGTGTGTGTATTCACCTAGTTGTGCTTGCGGGGATTGAGCTCTGCTCTCTCGGCCCGCCTCTCAACTGTCAATCAACTGTTTTTACTACTATTTTTTTCCACACACATACACACACACCCCAGGAAGCAGCCCGTGACAGCTGACTCACTCCCAGGTACCTATTTACTGCTAGGTAACAGGGGGCATAGGGTGAAATAAACTCTGCCCATCGTTTCTCGCCGGCGCCCGGGATCGAACCCGGAACCACAGGATCACGTGTCCAGCGTGCTGTCCGCTCGGCCACCGGCTCCCTACTCCAACCTGTCCTCGAGAGCACAATCTCCACTACCACCAGGAGCCAATCAGTGCCTACCAATCCTCCTGTGGATCTTCCTAATCAACATTTTCTTTTACGACGAAGAGAGAGTGTGCCCAAAAACTTTTCTATCATATGCAACAAATTAACATAGAAATGTAAATAACTATCAATGCCGCTTGCAATTTTTAGCCCCGTGTGTATAGATAACAAGCTAACAGCCCTGTAGTTGAAGAAACGTTGCAAATTAGAATGTGACCAGGGAATAGGCTTTTATATCTGTTTTTTAGGCTCTGACTTTTCAAAAATCAAAAAGATGTTCGTCAAAACTTTGTCAAAATCTCTGGTGTACGAATTTGTTTGTATGTGTTGACGTGTGTGTGTATGTGTATGGAAACTAATATTCGTACGTTCGTTTGTAAGTGTGGTAGTGGTGGTTGTGGTGGTGGTGGTGGTGGTGGAAATTGTGGTGATAGTTGCTACACCGTGTACAAAGGTAGCAGTGCTTGCTACACCGTGTACAAAGGTAGCAGTGCTTGCTACACCGTGTACAAAGGTAGCAGTGCTTGCTACACCGTGTACAAAGGTAGCAGTGCTTGCTACACCGTGTACAAAGGTAGCAGTGCTTTCTACACCGTGTACAAAGGTAGCAGTGCTTTCTACACCGTGTACAAAGGTAGCAGTGCTTGCTACACCGTGTACAAAGGTAGCAGTGCTTGCTACACCGTGTACAAAGGTAGCAGTGCTTGCTACACCGTGTACAAAGGTAGCAGTGCTTGCTACACCGTGTACAAAGGTAGCAGTGCTTGCTACACCGTGTACAAAGGTAGCAGTGCTTGCTACACCGTGTACAAAGGTAGCAGTGCTTGCTACACCGTGTACAAAGGTAGCAGTGCTTGCTACACCGTGTACAAAGGTAGCAGTGCTTGCTACACCGTGTACAAAGGTAGCAGTGCTTGCTACACCGTGTACAAAGGTAGCAGTGCTTTCTACACCGTGTACAAAGGTAGCAGTGCTTGCTACACCGTGTACAAAGGTAGCAGTGCTTGCTACACCGTGTACAAAGGTGGCAGTGCTTGCTACACCGTGTACAAAGGTAGCAGTGCTTGCTACATCGTACACAGTTGTACAAACGACCGAATATTCGACCAGAATCCGAAAGCAACTTGGCAAATACTTACTGGAACATTGTTGAGAAAAACAGGGGAATAGAAGGAACAGGTGGAAGAGAAGGGTGGAAGAAGAGATAAGAGGAGGAGGAAGAAAAAGAGGAGAGATTAAGATAATAAAGAGAGGGGTTAAGATAATAAAGGGAGATTAAAAGAGAGAGAGAGACAGAGACAGACAGAGAGAGACTTAAACATTAACCTTAAATATATCCTTTTCAAAACGGCTAAATTACAATTCAAACAAACGAACAAATCCACAAGGGCCGTGACAAGGATTCGAACCTGCGTCCGGGAGCATCCCAGACGCTGCTTTAATCGACTGAGCTACGACAGGGTAAAAGGATTGAAACCCTTTTTACAATTCAAACATCATCATTGACAGTTATAAACACCTAACCTCCAATTTACACGTCACTGGGTCATGCAGTTTGCAATTGAACTTTCAGCCATTGCAAGAACTGCCTTGCTTGCAACCTGAGTTTCAAGCCTCCTGCCTGGCTCAGTAAATCGATACATTATGCTCAAATACATCTTTATCTAGTGTATTATTGTATTAACACACTAGAAAAAGATTTATTTGAACATAGTGTATCGGTTTATCAGTGTATACATAATGTAATGAGAGGTTTAGGTGTTAATTTCTACTCCTGCTGACTCCTATCAGACTTATGCACTTTTGGGCTGGTCGATGCAGCGGTGCTCGATCCCCGAGGGTGCCAGTGGGTAGAGGGGAAGGACCTCTGTAACCTACTCCAATGCCGCCCATGGGATGGGTATAGGGTGCTTAATAAATGATCAATAAAACATCTCTTTCTGACATTCCAGGTCTGTTTCCATCGTAGCTCTTCCGTCTGATATATACGGACACAGACACGGAGAGACATAGACAGAAACAACGACACATAGACACAAAGACACATAGACATAGCCATAAAGACACAGATACATAGACACATTCACAACTTGCATATTCAACTCGAGTGAGAGGACCTCTATAATGCATTAACCTTCGGGGGATTAAATGACTATAAAGTGACAGTTATATTTGAGCTATACGGTGGGACTGCCAGGTTTGTCCTTTGGTAACTTGATCTAGCAGGCTGTTGCTTGCAGCTGCCCGCAGGCCCATATATCTAATGATTTCTGGAAGGAACCGGAGCATCTTGGATTCCAGATAACAGGAAGGAGTTACACTGGAATAGATAGTGGATATCAATACCCCATTGGGGATAGGGGGATAAGGATAACTAATGAATGCACTGAATTCTTTTAGACAGTAAACCGCGTCGTATAGATTGTGGTGGTTTAGGGATTTTTAAACCACCGCAATATTGACGTTTCATGGAGGTAATGATAATTCGATCAGATAGGCTAGTTAGGAAGCCTGTAGGTTCTGACGCTTCTAAACCGCTGCATTGTTTACGGAGTGGTCATCTACAGGACGGGCTGTATGGTACCTCGATAATTGTATGGGTAGTCCCATTGGTGGTCCCACTGGTGGTCCCACTGGTGGTCCCATTGGTGGTCCCACTGGTGGTCCCACTGGTGGACCCTCAAAGAGAGGCAACTGTGCCATTAGAAACTACATTGGTATTCCAGCATTGTTGCCATCGGAGAGGAAACTGGCGACTGGCAACTGGTAATAGGCAGAAATTGGGAGCATTTCAACCTTCCCAACTAACGAAATCGTAATTATGTTGGTGTGTGTGTAATTGTACCGTAAATTGGCAGGTTAGACTATTGTAGATTTGATTTGTAAAAAAAATCATATTATAGAAACTATATAATTTATTTTAATTACCTGGGAAAAAAATGTAATATGAGAATAAATACATTCATTGCCTTTGGTTTCGGGGATCAGTGTTCCAGCTGCCCCGGTCTCTGGTCAGGCCTCTCATTTGGTTATCAGTTATACGGTCCATTAAGTAAGTTGTGTATATATACACTCAGGCATATACATACATGGCCTATATAGCTACCTCGGTTGTTTATAATAATTTTTTGTCGAGGATAGGAAGCTTTTCTATATATATATATACACAGTATATATAATATAATAAGGATGTAAAATGACTGCATCCAGGACTGTCTCTACCCTTCTCTCACTTCTCTAACAATCACCCCCCCCTCCTCTCTCATCTTTCTCCCTATCCACCTCTCTTCCCATCCCATTTTCCCCCCTCTCCCCTCTATCTCTATGCCTCAGAAATTATAATACTGAATTAACATTCATAATTTTTTAATAAAACTCTAGGGACTTGGCCAGTCACCTTTCACTGATTGAATGTTGATGGTGGTGGTGGGGTGGGGAGGGGGGGGGGTCACTGTTCGGGCCGAACCCTCTTAATAGGACCAACCCCGACCTTGTTGATGGTCAGAGCAAGTTAAGTAAGGTGGTGGTGAAGGCCACAACCGTCACTAGTTTTCAAACCGTTATACGGCATTGTACCTGGGAAGACGGGACACCGCGAGCGTAGCTCTCATCCTGTTATCTTGAGGTTATCTTGAGATGATTTCGGGGCTTTTTTAGTGTCCCCGCGGCCCGGTCCTCGACCAGGCCTCCACCCCCAGGAAGCAGCCCGTGACAGCTGACTAACACCCAGGTACCTATTTTACTGCTAGGTAACAGGGGCATAGGGTGAAAGAAACTCTGCCCAGTGTTTCTCGCCGGTGCCTGGGATCGAACCCAGGACCACAGGATCACAAGTCGAGTGTGCTGTCCGCTCGGCCGACCGGCTCCCTGTAAGTACTCCTGTAACTACACTTAGGTAATCACTTAGGTAATTATAGACATACACACTTGCTTATTTTTTATCTCTTAAGATTATTTTAACAACTGAAAGAACTACCATTAACCATTAACAGTTCCAGTTGCTATCTGCGATTACTTCCTGTGCACGAACTGCTAAATCCAATTTCATTTGCAATAGTTTTGTGAACTATTTTAATAATTAATAATAATTAATTTTAAATAGGACTTTCAGTTAGCCAAGCCATTCAAGGATTAAATATAGGAAAAATAATAAAAAAAGACTGGATTTATATTTAAATATTTATTATTGGAAAGTTCAGTATAGTAAATACCATCCTGTATGTGACTTTACAACACTGCACTTTAAAATACCATAATATAGACCCCATGCTTTGCTCAACAGCCTTTTGCTGTATAAAAAAAATTGCAAATACAAAAAGACTAACGGGGAAGTCAAAGCTACAGCTGCTGTATAAAAACTAATTGTAAATCTGTTCCCACCAGACAATTTTATAACAATCAATTCTAAGATTACAAAATGAATCAAGTTTATAAGAATTACTTCTGACACTAGACAAGAAGAAATCAAAGGTATAGGCCCAGATATATATATATGACTGTGATGAGTCACAATAACGTGGCTGAAGTATGTTGACCAGACCACACACTAGAAGTTGAAGGGACGACGACGTTTCGGTCCGTCTTGGACCATTCTCAAGTCGATTGTCACAATCGACTTGAGAATGGTCCAGGACGGACCGAAACGTCGTCATCCCTTCAACTTCTAGTGTGTGGTTTGGTCAACATATATATGACTGTTTTCCATGATTTAATAATCACAATATTCACCTACAAGTATTCACATTTGCCAAAATATCCCTCGCTACAAGACCGGATTATCTTTAAGTATTAAGGGAGGCAAGGTACTCTGATTCCCATACTATATGTGGGTCAAAATGTATATGAATTCATATATTATTTACAGTTCTCGTACATTTCCCCCACATATCACCAGAGGGATGGTCTGTATATAAAGATTCCCTGATCCTCTGACATGGGATCAGATGACCTGATTTAACTCTAGTCATACAGTATAATCCTATTTTACCTTTATCACATACTGTACATGTGCATTTTGTAATTGCGATGTGAGGTCTGTAATCTAATAAATAGTGGAATGCAATTACAGTAAAAAAATGATATATTTGGTGAACATAATTTTGGTTTAAGAGGGCAAGAATCATTAAATTATATGCTGTATATTATAAAGTGCAACTTAAACCAGGTATATCATTAAAACCTTAAAGTTAGATTTAATTAACCTTCATATAAATAAACATTGTCATTTGTGATAATACTACACAGTTTCGTGAAGAATTACATGAAGTACAGTAGGACTTGGTTGTATTAAAAATTCAATCCCATACAGTACTGTTATAATTCACAGTACACTTATTCAACATCACTATAAAAAAATCACCAAAGTGAATGAACCAACATAGCTGCATTCTTCAGTCCCTTACCATCGTGTGCTTTTTTGTCTAGAAATACAATGAGCGTAATACATAGAAACAATTCTCCAGAAACAGAGTTTTGTACATCACTGAACTGCAGATGAACCACAGGGCCGTCATTCGTGTATTGGTGTTGATGTAAGAGATCTAGGAAGCTTCACTTGGTTTGATTACGACCTTTCATGCCTTCTATGATCCTTTCAGTGCTATCACTCACAGGGTGGATATAGGGTGCACAATAAACTAGCCACTGCTGGCAGAAATAATTAAAATTTCTTTAGGAAATTTTCCATTTATTTCCAAGAAATTAGCCATCAGTGTCAAATTTGACCAACTTACATAGTAACCTGTTTTACAACATCAACACACTATCATTTGAAGACAAAATTAATTTAAATTATACTACTGTACTTATGAAAAAAATAGCTAGCAATTATTTTGTGTTAACACATTAATCATAAATAAACCAGAATATCTTAACACTCAAATGCAAGCCTGTTGGTCAGCTTATATGTCAGACTAAGCATCAGCATCACTCACTACTCTGAACATAATCAGCATACCCATTAATCTCTCAACATACAAACCATCACCCACTACTCAACATACTCAGCATCATCCACTCATCTCTCACATGTTCAACATCATCAGGACGCTTGTACAGTACATCATAACACTACGGTATATTACAGATTTAGGAGTTGCTAGGTTTTCAGGATGCCGAAACGAGAGCAGACACACATAACAAGAGCTATGTCAAAAAAGTCTGGTGCACAG